TGGGGGATAAATAGGGAAAAAATTAAAGGGAAAACGGAGGGAGGGGGGGAGATCCAAAAAAAAAAAAAAAAAAAAAAAAAAAAAAGGCACAACCAGCTTGTTGCATCCTCCATCAGTGTCTTGCTATACTTAACCTCTTCAGGGAAATGGCCACTAATGACACCTCAAAATATGGTGGAGAGTGCACCAAGTAACTCACTTCTCCCTCCCCCCCCCCCACAGTGGCCCTTTCTCATTATCACAGGGGGAGGAGGTTAAGGTGGACACCAGAAAGGAATGCTACCGGATTCGTTTCCCCAATTCAAGTTCGACAACAGGACTATTTCACACCTCCCAAGATCAGGAGGGGGAAAAAACAAAGAACCAAAAAAAAAAAAAAACCTACAGCTATATACACAGAATAAGATTCTCTCATGGTCTGTACAATTGAGCCTTTACATTATTTACTAATACAAAAAAAAAAAAGCTGGCAACATAAACCTCCACTCATCTGTTCAAACAAAACATTGTTACAATGTCCCACTATGCGCCATCTTTCAAATTAAAGTTCACATTGTCATGGTAAGCAGGAGGTGGCGATGGGCAGAGGGAAAACTCATTTTCCAGCTAATAATGCATTTTCATTATGGGTGGAACTCCAGTTCATCCACACTGATGACTTTAGCTGGCATGGAGGGCAGTGGCTGCTCTAGCACATCCGATCCAAACCACTTAGCCAGGCCCAGAGGGGGGCTGGCCCCGTGTCGCTGAGAGCCGTTTGTCCGGTGGAGCCCTTGGTTCTGAGACGGAGCGCCTGGTACACCGGGATGCACTGCAACAAGGAGAAAAGGATTTAATGCTTTAGAGCTTCATGTTTTGCAGACTTTCAGAAAAATGAACCAGAACCAGAGAATCTTGGATACGTTTTACCACATACGACTTCTAAACTTACTTGGTCTCTGCCCTTGAAGCTGCTGCTGCATGACCGCTAACTGCATGGGAGCATTTGCTCTGGGAGGTAGAAGTCCTGTTGCACTCAGTGGGTACAGTGGCTGTCCCAGCAAGGCCGGAGGTAAGCCTTGAAGTTGTGCAAGGTCAACATGTGGTGGAAATATACCTTGTGAGTGCAACCAAAAGCAGTTCATAAACATCAAGTCCAAAAGTGATTAAACAGAAATAACGCCAGTGTTGGGCCGGTAGAAACCACTAACCTGCTTGCATGAGGGCAGGTCCGAGCTGCTGGGGCGGGATCCCCTGTGCTAGCATTCTCTGAACCACGTTTGGGTGGAGCTGAGGAGGGGGGCGCACCATGGGGACATGGGACAGCAGTGGTACCGGGTAGATGGGACTAGGGAAAGACGAAGACGGACCTGGAGGTGCCATCGGAGTCATGTGGTGTCCGGTGGAACCAGGTCTCAGACGCTCCTGGTCTTTACTTTGCATGGTTTGAGGACTGATCTTTGCTCCCACAGACTGCGAGACATTTCCGTCCACTGACCCCAGTAGGTGGTTTGGAGAGCTACTGCCTGAAAGCACAGAAAAACCTTTAGCATCACATCACTGTTAGCAGGACAAAGCGTGGGCAAGCAGCTGCTCTGTACCATCTTGAGAGTTTGTGGTCGCTTCCTCTTTAGTCTCTGGACGACTCGACTGCTCGTCCTTGCTTTTCTCTTTCGTTGCGTACATTTTACGGATCACAGATGTGGGTGTAAACGATGGGGATATCTGCAATTGAAAGGCATAAAATATAGTAAAATTATGAGTACACACTTTTCACTGATTTACAGGCAAGTAAAAAAAAAGAAAAGAAAAAAAAGCTCTTCACCAAAGAGTCAATGCTCACCATGCTAGTAACTGCGTTTCCTGGGGAGGTTCTTCCAGCAGGCTGAGGTCCAGGGGAGCGATTTACCCGCTGAGGCCTATTGATCATGCAGGCATTTAAGTCATATGCTGTATTTACAAATTAGGCAAGTTCATTTTAATTTTGAACTACAATGCTCTCAGTCAAGCCAAAACATCAATAAACTTGAAACAAAGGAGGTTATTCTTTCACTTTTACGACTTTCTTCATCTGACCTCCACCTTGTTGTTGGGCACCAAAGACAGGTTATGCGACGGCACCAGAAGAGAACGGGCCCAATTCCTACATTTCAGAATCCGTTAAAGTCTTTTTGGCTCATTGTCCCTGAAGAACATGAGCTGCCCAATAACTGTACACACACCTTGATATAAAGGTTTAAATTCTTAGACCACAGATTTCCCACTACACATGCGTTTGAGATTTGCCTTCACATTTATACAAATTGGAGTTAGAAAACGTGCATAAAACCATATGATCATTAGCTCAGTGGGCTAATGACTGCACAGTGCTTTTGCTACAGAGAAAAATATTTAAGATGATTACCATCACATTAGGTTAAGAAAAAGCAATAAATCACATATTCAAGCCAAATTAAAATACTTGCCTATTTCTGAAGGATCTGTCCTGCAGGTGTTTGTTGTAGCCTGACTGAAATGAAGGGTGGCCATGGAGAGCAAGGTCCTGCTGGAGAGCTAGGACTTCCAGATCAGCTTGATTTACAGGTAGTGAGAGCGCCCTCATCTGGGGAAACAAGTTACATAACCCCATCTTTAAACAAAACAAAACTATCACAATATGGAGACTTTTCTTGACAAGGTGACTTTGTACCAAGTATATTTATATGGCAAAGATTAAAGTGATTCTGATTTTATAAAACAGATCAATAATGCAAGTGAGTCAACATTAATGAAAAGCCACTAAAAAAATAAATTCAGGTCCAAAATTAGGAAAACTACAATCAATGAACGCCTTTTAAAGTTCTTCGAAAAACCTGTTCCACATCTCCTAGAACAAAGTGAAGCTTCATACACACTAATGAATCCCAAACTCCTGCCACCAGAACAACCAACCTGCTGCTGAGAAGGACTGATGGACCTGTGGATGTCAAACTGTTCTGGTAGCAGAGACTGAGGACCAGCTGGAAATCCTTGAGGAAGTATTAAAAACAAAATTGTGTCCAGTTTAATCAAACACTTAATAAAACCACAACAAGTAAGCCTGAATAATTATTTAGAACACCAAACTTAGAAAGTTCAAGTAATGTCCGTCTGTCCTTTCAGACTTACCTGCAGCAGGTGGCATTCTGTTATTGAAGTAGTCCGGTGAAGGGGCCCGCTGTGCAAACAGAGGGGGCGAGGGGCCCTTGTGTAGTAAACCATGCAAAGGGCCAGGAGTCACGGAGGGCTCAGAGTTTCCCAACAGACCGCCTAAAGGAGTCGGGGAGCTGCTACGAACACCAAGGAGCGCCTACAGAGAGACCCGAGTGATGTTACACTTTAATTCAACAGACACATTGATCAGTGGGTCAAATTCTGTGACGTGGATTGCAGATCGACATGAATCAACCAGCAACTACAGGAGACATCCCAGTTTTCTGAAAACATGTATGAAGTTTGTTTTCCAAGACCATCTAATCAGAACAAAGTATATTCAGTTTAATTAAAATTGTTGAATACAAAATTCCTCTTCAGACTCGGCACATATGCAGTAAGCATGCATCTTTCTTCTGCTGAAGATCTTTGCATTGTAACAGTTTCTCCAACAACTCCAATGAACCGAGAATAATTCCCCCCTATGTTTTGATAATTTCTTGCAGAGCTTACAAAGGAATAATATCACAATCCCTCTACCTAGACATATTTTGCAGTTTAACATCACAGCCTTCTCTTAAAGTTTTGCCCAATATTAAACTACAATAATCTTTATTTGGGAGGATTTGAGACCATGTTAATCCAAAACATGCATGATCAACTTTAGAGAGGATTGCACACACACCTGAAATATGTTTTTCTGTTGCTGAGGAGGCGCATTATCAGGGAGAGGCGCCACACTTTGATCCGAAGGTTGCTGCAACATACAGAAGGTTTAAAGTTGCTTTTTTCCCCTCATGTAAAACAGATCACCACATCCATACATCACATAAGATGTTTGAATATGGGAGGTCTGAGCAGCTACCATCAGATATAAATGTCTAATATTTGAACATTTGAGATGAATTCTCACTTAAACGTCCCAAACAGAAGACAGGGCCACAGAGATGAGTGAACACACGTGAAGCCGAGTCAACAGTCCCCTATGCAAGCTGCCCAAGGTTTTGAATTATATTTAAAGAGTCATTTTTCCCATGGCCTTTTACATTACCCTTATTCATTTTAAACTTAATCTCATGTTTGAAGCAACTTGCACAAAGAACTGCAGTGATGAAAATTACCCAGCAGGTAACCTCCAGAATGGTTCAAATTTATGCCCACCATCTTTAAAAAGCTTTTAAAGTTCTCTGATTTTAGCTTAAAGGTAATTCTGCAGCTTCACTGGGTCATGCAGCATCTACTGCAAAACTAGTGTTCGACATGCAGTATGGAGCTGGTAGAAAACACAAGAGATGTACTTACATTGTTTGTGTTGGGTTTGGGGTGAGTTGGCAGAGTTCCACTTGCCTTCATGCTGCTGACCAGTTTATTAAAAGCAGACATGTCCGTGTCACGGGATCGCGGCCGGCTAGCAGAGCCGCCGGTCAAAGCCTCCTCCAGATGCTCGGCCATGAAGGGCGTGCCGTTCCCCTTCTGTGGAGGAGACACCTTCTGCACACGAGGCTCCGAGCCGAGCTTCATTCCCTTCATCTCCCCTTCAACTTCCTCCAGAGAGAGCACCACCCCCGAGTTGGCTGAGGACAGACGGGGAGGAAAACAAAAAAATCAAACCTGGTTTAAAAATTTGAAAAGTAAAAGTAGGCAGTTTCAACTATTAGCAACTAGATTAATACAAAAAGGTATGAGGAAGTCCAAAAGTAGTTTTGACTGATTCCACGTTTCTTGAATGTGCGCCGAGCCGTTACTCACTGCTTTCTCGTAGCCGTGCTTTGTTGACCGACAGCGTGGACAGAAGGGGCTTCAGGTCTACTTTGGCCTTGTGCAGCAGCTCCAAGATGTCCACTTTTTCCTTGCCTTCTGATGACTGAATAGGTGTGAAGTATGACGCAGAGCCTTGGCTTGTAGATGAGCAGCCTGGGTCAAGTCCTTTAAAGAGATGTAGTCCAGAACAAATTAGCTTCCTTTAGATGCAAACTGGTTCCAACATTTACTCTGATGGGTAAATTCAGTAGAACTGTGGATCCACAATGACACAGACAGCTGGTGTCCAACCTTTCTACTGTTGCAAATGAGGAGACATGGATGTAACCAGCACAAACAAAATTTCTTCAATTTCCATTTGCTTTATTAATAATCTGGATGCAGCTGTCAGACTGGCCAAGTTTTATTTGTCAGCAGCTCATTACATTTACTCCACTAGGGGATTTGTTAATTAAAGGTCATAACCACACAGTTAAAACAAGCCACACTGGGGTGATCAAATCACTTGCCTGCAAGTTTTTCCAGCTCCTCATGAGGGGTGGACCTCAAACTGCTGGACCGGCTGCCTGATGGGCTCAGGGTGTTCGAAAACCACTGACTGAAGCGGCTCGCCGACACGGGGCCTTCTCCCAAAACGTCCTCTATCATCTGAAAGACAGAAACAGGAAGCCTTTCATGCAGAGAAAAGACGACACACTAAACAAAACGTGAAACTTGCGTTTAGTGCGTTTTCCCATCAAGCTAGCAGCAAAAGTGCCAGGATACGGGGCAGGCGTTGTCCCTGAATGAACCGCTTAGTATGTAGCTCTGATTTTATCGCTACAGAGCAGCTTTAATTTAAAACATGTTCTAAACAAAGGTATGATGGACTGTTGCATTAACTGCATGCAACAGCCCAAAAATAACCATTTAGTGAGTCACCACAGATAAGATCAAGGTCAGTGAGATCAAGCCAGCACAGCAGAAGTAATCTTGGGCTGACGCATTTGATGCTTTAAAGCAAAACTACACAAAAAAAAAAAAAAAAAAAAAAACTTATTTGACTGGAAGATCGACATATGATGCAATTGAAGCCACAAGTGTCAAACAACAGATTCTGGCTTTAAAAACCTCGACTTCCAAACACTGCAGAACAGGAAACCAGATCCAGTAAGGTGGCTGCAGAAACACCCCTCATGTGACATCATTACCTTGATAAAGAACAGTGCCCCCGGTACTTACAGAGGCCAGTCCTGGCATGGTTTTCTCCAAGTTGAAGAATTCGTTGAAGTCAAAGTCTCCAGCTGACGGGTCTGGAAGAAGATCTGGATGGGGAACTTCTTGATCAGCCTGCAAAGCCACACTTTGCTCCTCGGCTAGTTCACCATTGCATTCCACTGCTGCACGCAAAAACATTTGACAGGACAATCGGACCCATATCGTCATGCTGTATTATGTTTAAATTCAAGAACACAGGGCTTGACGTGCCTTCCTTCACAGAGTCCGTTTGCTTCCTCGATCGCTTTGTTTTGCGTCTGTCCTCCTCCAGAATTTTGTCGTCAAATCCGATTAGCTCAATGGTCTCTGACTGGCTGGTGGGGCCGGCTGAGAACCACTCCGGCTCCTCCTCTGCGTACGAGTCGTTTCTTCTTCTTTCACTGAACACCCGCTTGTCACCATATTCTCTCTGCAAGACATGACGCATGCAGAATCATAAGATTTTCACAAGTTAGTAGTGCAAATAACCAGGCAAAACAAAAAAAAAAAAAAAAAAAAAAAAAATAAAATTTTTTTTTTTGAACTGGGGGTTTTAATCATACCTCTGGGTAAAAATACAAA